ACCGCCCCCTGCCGGCCCGGCGGGGAACCGCTCCGCTCCCGCCCGCACTGCCCACTGCTGGCACGGCTTCGGGCTCCCAAAGCGGCACACGCGGGCTGCCCTGAGGTACTTTAGATTTTCATTGCAAATGTTTTCATTACAAGCGTGGTAGCGCTAGTCCTTCCGAGGGTTCTTTCCACATGCTGTGGCTGCAGCGTCCACTACACCGCGCTCCCAAGGCTGACACGGCGCTGCAGTGCCCCACAGCAAAGGGTCTTGGGAACAGCTGTTTCCAGAACATGGAAAGCAAGTATCAGGTTTTGCTTTACAACAACCACAGGAGACTGAAACATTATTTCCTTCCACGTTAAAAACAGCCAGGAGCAAGCTAAGGGGCTGTTCCTCTAACACTGCAAAGTCAGAATAGAGTTTCAACACGCTCCCCTCCTCCTCTCTTCCTGCCCCAGCCAGAGCGGCGATTTTGCATGCTTTTGCTTATGAATTCCCCCCGCCCCAAGGTCTAGTTTGAATATTTGGCTATAAGATACAATGCATCTTGCTTATTTTTAGTGTTTCTGTATTTCCAACAGCAACCAGGGAATAAAACATTCAGCAACTGAGAAAACACAAACATTTGTCAAGAACCAAGAAACGCTTCATTCAGTTCAGATTCAGGAAACCACACTTCAGTCCTGACCACGAACTTAGTTACCCACAGGCAGACTGTTAGGGACTATTGTACTCACATAAAAGTGTTTGTGCCTTATATATTGCATCATTCTATCAGCGCACAGAAAATTCAAGGCTTGGTAAGCTTTAACATTTACACAAGTTGTCTTCTGCTACTCTGCTTCTTGATTCCTGGGAGAAAAGGCAGGCTAGGAAATATACACATAGAATATACCACAAAAATATCTTCAAGAGTTCCAGAGATAGTAGAGAAAGCCATTGAGATTTTATTTATGCTATATTTTGGTGGAAATAACTCTAACCTGTTTCAACTGGAGTAAAATTGTCTTGTTTCCTTCAATAATGAAATCGTATGACAACTTTTACAATTTTAACTTTAGAAAAAAACCAAGATGTTATAATTCCTATTATTTTTTTTTTATGTTACAAGTAGCAGTTTCGTAAAACTTAATTTTAAATCCCCATATCATAAAATGCAGCATCGCAAGCATGTGTACAACTACTGCAATACATTTGTTTTTAAAGCAAGGAAACAACTATACATTCAAAAATAAATGCATTATGATTATATACATAACTGCACATTCAAAGATAAATACTGGGACAAGACTTCTAATCACTTTAGACACGTTGTGTGTTTTCCCTTTCGGTTCTGGCAGATGGGTGAAAGAGCATAAGATGTTTTGCATTCCATTTTCATAGCTTTGCAAGCCACAGAGCAGAATACAAGTTGATTAAATCTCTAGGCAGCATTTTTCCTTAACTGTTAAGGACAACAGCATTTTGATTTGCTTGAGCTATGCTTATGTACACTAACCCCTCTTTGGGAGAGGATTGCAAGTCGATTGCGAGTTACTAGTATGAGCGAATAGCAGGTGGAACACTTGAGCAGTCTTCTTCGTTTAAAGTTCTGTCAATTACAGGTCTGTATTTCAAGGTAACCTAAAACAAAAAACAACAAAAAACACTTTAAAATAAACAAACCAACCAACCTCTTGTCTACCAAACAAGACACCCTAGATAATACAAATGACTGGATAATATAAATAACTGAATGACTTGGTTAGTGTTAAACTATTTCACTTTATTCATTTGCTTCCATAGAAAAAGAACATTTAGTAACCTATATGGAATATTTGAAAACAATTCTCTGTTACCACCAACTGAATTTATCAAAACCAACAACCTGACCAAAATAGTAGCAGAAAACTGCTACTTTAAAAAGGCCTTTTGGACAAAAGTAAGTTTTTGGCTAAGACTTCCATTTCCTAGTTCTTTCAGCTGGGAAAGATGAGATCTTGAAAACACAACAGACTGATTAGAAGGCATGGGAATCAGTTTCATTCTGTTTCTCCAGCACCTTGGCAGTTATTCAGGAGCAGGAGTGTTCTCACTTGTCCTCACACTAAAGTAAAGGAAGGAGAAAAGGACTAAGAGAAGGGATATACAAGACAACACTTGAGTTGTGTTTTTGTTTTTTTTTTTTTCTAAATAAGGTCAAATTTCAGTTCTACTTCCTTTCAGATAAATACTTTATGCTGAACATCAACAACAGGTTTTACCCAGCATCAGGAAGGAAAAAAACAGAACAAACAAAAATCACCCTCTCAACTAGCCTGATGCAAGGTGAAGAACAATTCCAGCTCAGATGACAAAGTCTCTTCTCAAAGTTCAACAGTAACTCCTCCCAGTTATGCCTACCGTACCAGATCGACTGTTTAATTCTTTCAGTAAGCTAACCCAGGTACCTCAGACAATACCAATCACTTCCAGTATTATCATGATAGCGAGAGCTGTCTGAGAACAGCTGTCTGTTCACAGGGAGAAACGCCCTCAAGCCTCAGAGTCAACATACCTTCCCACTCTTGATGTCCACGTATGAAAGGGTGTGCTTTCTCCAGTGTTCTTCAAATGGCTTCCTCTGTTGGCCTTGGAGTGGCTTGGAATAATCAAACTCATCCATCCGTACCTAAGAAGGTCAGGTTAGTGTAGACCAGAAGTTGCAGCCGAAATTCACTTAATAACCATAGTTAACTGCACTCCAATTACAACTGTAATACACTGTATCTCCTAAGAGACAGCACACTTTATCTTAACACCACCCATGTCAAAATTCAAGGTCCTTGTAAAGCTTCAGTATTTAAGATACTGCCGTTTGCATAGAGTATTCCATATGGATATATCTATGCACATAGACGTATATACATATTTTTTAAAATAAAACAGATAAAACAGAGCAAGTGAGATCACAAACAAACGCCACATGAATTCTAACTCAAAATTCTGGGGACTGTACTTTGAAGAAATTAAGACTTAAATAATCCATCCAAGGACACAGTAAAAGCAAAAATCAATCCCAGGTTCAGTCACAGAAAACATTTATACCTTATAGTCCTCTCTGGCATGAGCACCCCGGGACTCTTTACGAGCCTCAGCACTATAAATGGTTTGTAGAGCGCAAAGCATCAGGTTTTGTAGTTCTAGGGTCTCCACCAAGTCAGTGTTCCATACAATACCTAGTAAGATATTAGAATACCATGAAGGTGTTCTACAAACAAGTTTTTCCTCAGTTTACTTCTAACCTATTGTAGATACTCAGAATGAAGCTAGCTAGTGCTGTACATAGCATAGTCATAGTACTGTAACACTGAACTACTCACTATTGCTTGTAAGGCTCAATAGCGAATCCTCCATGTTGATAATCTTAACATGTCATACAAAAATTCAGCAGTACTAAAAAGTTCCACGTGTGTGTTATTTTAACCCCGTAGATTCTTGCACGTTTAATATCAAGCTTGCAATTCAGTCTCTATACCTCATTTCAGATCACAAAAATCTGGCTAGAAGGTAACTTCTTATGCAGATCCCTAGCAGGCCCAAACAACAAGGCTTCCCTTTCTCCTCCCTCTCAAAAAATAACTGGTTCTCCTTCAGTTAATTTGGGTTCAAGGGGGACTCAAATTCTCTTACATAAACATATCTTCATTTTCTATATTCTAAGCTATCCCAACACTCCTTTTCTTGATGCTTGGTGAGAGCTGTTCAACAAAGACAGTTTACTTTCACTGTTAGGATACATGTCTGATCGCACTAGTTGGAGAGAAATATAAAATTTGAGGGGAGTACATGTAACATCAGATGCACTTAACTAACCAAGTCCTCCTGACATACACTGCAAGACATGGCAGTAACTGTATGCACAGCTGTCTTCTCAAATGAAGAATGAGGGCTGAACATTCAGCCTAAGAATAAAGTGTCTTGTCAGCTTTTGATGACTTACTAAGAGTATCAGAAATATCTTCTGAAAAGGCCAGTATGTGAATCACTTCATTCCATGCTCTGCGAAACAGGAATATCTTCTACAGTTAAATTTGAGTTCAATCTCAGCTTCTTTGAAAAAAAATGCGCAACTAGAAAGTGTTGAATACGATAAAGTACTTCACTGATTACCATATTTCGCAGTTAAGTCTCTACTACATATTTCAGAGAATTCGAATCGGTCAAGATCTTTAGCCAAAGTTTAAAAAGCAAACAAACAACTTTTCCCAAATAATACTCTAATCAAGATATGTTCTTGATTATCAAATTACCTCTGTCAAATGTCTTTAGATGAGCCAAATCACGATAAATTTGACTAAGTTTCTCACAACCTTCTTGTAGTACAGAGCCAGTACGAAATACAGCAGCATGACTTTGCATGGTCTGCAAGACAGTAAAAAAGAAATCACATAGTTTCATACGCTGTATATGCACAAAAACCCCACGTAACCTCATTAGGCCCAGTAAAGCTTTATATAAAGCTATCCTGGCTTCAGACACACCTGCAGCGTGAAGAAAAAGCGGTCCCAAAAGAGAGGAAACCACATCATGGTACACAATAGAGTAAACTACCCAAGAGGAATAAGTATGAAGGGAAGAAACTAACAAAATGGAGATAACGGCTTTGTTGTATACAGACCCTGTTCCCACACTCCTTTTTACTTCACAAAAGCAAATCCCGAAGAGCATATTTAACAGAGTGCCCAAACCACCTCCTTTGCTTGCAGCTTCTCCCACTGTACACTGGAGGACTTCAGCAGTCTTACCTTCTGCATGTTAAGTCTCACTTCTGAAGTTCTTATGGTTCCACTGGCGAATCTTAACTTGTCAAGATTAGCGACTGACTCTTCACCAGCATTTGGTTTAATGGAGGGAATTGGCTCTCCTATTAAGCAAAATTCAGTAAGTTTAGTAGATGGCTGTTTTCAGTTTCTGGCAGTTTCATAAAGTAATAGCTACTAAAAATCAAAGCAGACTAAAGCCACAATCTATCACTGTCTGAGATGCAGGTTAATTGTAATTTTCCTGAACTCCCATCAACAGTATCCATACGTTTTACTTTTAGAAGTTCTCTGTGCAACATATGAATCACATTCTTGCCTGTGATATCTGGGAGGGAATTTACAGGTCCAGCTAAATTCTGCTGTTAACTCCTTGAAAAGGAACACTTGAAGCAAGTTCTTCTACACTGTGGAATAAGCCTCCCTGCTTGGGGCTCCTTACCACCTTCTCCTGCACTTCCTTGCCTCCTCATCTCCAAACCTCCCACCTCCTCTTGGCTCTGCTAAGAGACCAGGGCCTAGCCAATAACCTTGGCAGTTACATGTGGGCTCTGCAACTCATCTCTAAAACTGGGATCCACCTGTTATTGGGCAACACAGGTTAAACTAATGGAACATATAGCAGTTAGTCTTCTTATTCAGTGTTCAATTTTGCTAGTTAGTGAAAAATCAACTGCTTTTGTCAATAGCATTGACTGAATTACAGTTTTGTGAACCAATCCTATTAAAACAAGTATCAATGGCAAGCATTTGCAGTCAGGAACATGACTGTAAGAAGCACATAAGCAGAGAGTTTTTTGCATTTTCTAACAAATAGCTTATTAGCCATCTGAGTTTGAAATAGAGTTGTTACCGTAGTGTAACGGCCTTTGTTGGGGAGAAATCAAATCATAAAGGTAAATGTCTCTCTAAAAGCGGAGCTAAATGGCAAGACTCACCAGGCTTGCATGTTTCTGCAATAGTAAGGGCACAAGCACGACCAAAGACCACCAAATCTAAAAGCGAGTTTGCTCCAAGTCGATTCGCACCATGGACAGATGCACAGGCTGCTTCCCCACAAGCGTACAAGCCAGGTACCACTTTATCCTCACCATTCACGTGTGTAATCACCTGTCATTTTAGATAGTCAATTAATATTCGTATGTTAAACGGTTTATAACAGGCAAGCCTCCTTATTTTCAAAGTCCACATGCTTTGTGAGTATGAAACTACAGTAACCTAAATTTTTCTCACTCTAAATATCTTAGTTCAAAAGGGTAGGTCGTAGTGCTATGCAAATGCAGATGGAAGTAAAACCTAATATTTCTTTAGTCATACTTATGAAACAGAACCATACAACAGAACCATCATGACATTTTTGCAGCAGAAGCCAGAAAAACACAGGAAGTGAATCTCTCCTGCAGATACCCAAGGCAAAAATTTTACATTAAAAACACACACCCGTTAAGTACAATACCCTCAGCCAGAAGTCAGCTGACACCATGAAATTGATCTCTTAACTAGTATGAATTGAAAGAACCAATTTTAGTGCAGAGATTACATGATTACATTAGGTGCAGAGCATTACTGCGTATAACCAGAGTTACAGATTGTAGTAGAATCCTAGTCTTATCCCTGTTCAACTACTCATAAGTAGCACGATCCTCAACTGCATCATCAGAGAACTGTTGTCAGATATGACTGTAACCCTTCTTTTTAGATATTCCTTGGAATTCCATCTCCAGATGTACTGAAACATGGTCCTCGGGTTACTTAGAAAAATAAACCAAATAGGTGGGTCAATTACTTCAAGTTATGTAGTCCAGCATCCTTACAGTTATAAAATACTGTAAACGCTTGGATATTTGGAAAATAATTTCCTTTTGCTAGATGATATAAGTTACTAAGAATGATCTGTATTACTTACTTGTCCTTTGTAGTTAGTAGGAATACCTCCCATATTGTAATGCACAGTAGGAAGAACAGGAATGGGCTCTTTAGTGACATCGACTCCAGCAAATATCATAGCTGTTTCTGAAATTCCTGGAAGACGGGTTGCTAGCTGCTGAGGTGGTAGATGGTGCAATTGCAAATACACATGGTCTTTCTCAGGGCCACAACCCCTAGCAAAAACAAACAAACAAACAAACAAACAAATAAAAAAGCATACAACAAGAACTCTGCAAAAGCCAGGAATTATCTTAAGCTGATTTAGTTTTGATAACCTTTGCAAAAATTAAGATTGCTGACAAAAACGTGTATTTAGTATATTTGAAAAGACTGTTGAACCTGGCAGTGTTTTTTCCTCTCTCAGATTTCTTTTGACAAAGAACTTTTCTTTCTGCACAGCATTTAACATTTTAAAGCACTATATATTCAGAGATGTAAAAAAGAATTCATCAAGAGAACAGAACAAATCAGTTCTTAGTAAAAACAGTGGAAGCCATATGTTAAACTTATTTGAGCAACTGTCCCTAGAGTCACTGAATTCAAACAAGACACTCCTAATATCTTATGTTCCTTTTCAGTATGATTAAGGAATAATAAGCAACATTTTCACTCCAAACACAGTCTTCCCTTAGCAATTAAAATTGATGTCCCTGAATCACCAGGAGTTTACCAAGCGAACTACTGCACTGCATACAGCCTAGTATGATTAAGTGTTCATTCTGCAGCTTCCTTGAAGCACTTAACTAACCTTCCTTCCCGGATTTCTATTGTCATAGAACGGCACACTACATCCCTGGAAGCCAAATCCTTAGCGACAGGTGCGTATCTCTCCATAAATCTTTCACCTTGACTGTTAATTAGAATACCTCCCTCTCCTCGACATCCTTCTGTTATGAGGCAACCAGCTCCATAAATACCTGCAAAGCAAAAAAAAAAAAAAAAAAAAATTTAAGTGCAATATTCACAAGAAAGCTTCATGACCAAGAAGCCCAGGACTAAAGAAACAAAAATCTACTTAAAACAATGCACACAAGTCACATAGGTAGATTTTATTCTGTCCTAATAATCATACCTACTAATAATTGTCCCACAAGGCTGCTCAGAAACAAGTATTATTCCTTTCAAACATTGCTGGCGAGCACACCGATTAGGAACACCTATGATATCCAAAACACTACAATCTGAAGATATCGGCGCCTGCCAATACATATGGAGAGCTTTTACAATAATCTTGTAGACCTTGGGCAATTACTTTGTTCAAGTATTTGAAGCAAATCAGAAGCTGATCATCTCAAATTCAGTTTGCTCATCTTTGTTCCCTCTTCTCCTGTACTGGAGGCAGTGCAGAACAGCTTCAAGTTGTGTAGAAAGTGAAAGCTAACTCAGTAATTTTCCCCTAGAGAAGTAAGGCCCACTTGACAGCCCTGGTCATCATAGGAAGCAAAAAAGCTGACCAACTCACGCACTCATAATTACTTTAAAAGCTATGGAATCATCAGACAAACCGTGAAATTTCTTTAACTAGAAAAACTTTAGTTAAGGCAAATGAACCTTAGATCTTTCTTGGCTATAACAACTGTAATACTGTAAACTTAAGTGAACAATTTGAAAGCCTCACCACTTCTAACAAGCTAAAACCAAGCATTTATTTAGCTACAGCCAAAAGTAATAAAAAAAAGATCTCCTTCACTCTTCAGTCTAACTTTTATCCTCCACGCTTTTGATTCTGATTCTCTGCTATAAAACCATGGTCCTAAATATATAACTACTTCAACTACCCCTCTTCCACAAAACATTCTAGCATGTAACTCCCTAACATTTACATCTATACTATTGCTTCTGTCTCTAATATCAAACCATTTAATATTTTAAAGACAAGAAGAAACAAATTTTAAGAGGTGAAGTGGTTTCACTCTGAAATTCATAAAACTTGTTAGCATTGTAAAGACAGCTCCTCAAAATATTTAACAATTTAGTTTCTAAATTAGAAAATCCAAAGTCTTTCTCACATTGTAGTATTCTTACTCTCAGCTTTATATCCTACAGCAGTTTGAACACTCATTACAAGCAACTAATGAACAGTTAAGTGCTACAGGAAAGTGCAAAATGACTTCAGCACATTTTAAAACAAACAAAACTCTCCTTTCAATTCTTACTAAAAATAACGTTGCAAGTATTCTTTCAACACTGCAGATGTATAAGCTTTCCTACAGTTAGGATTGCTTTTGTAATTGTGCTCTGTACCTGTAGGATGAAACTGTACAAACTCTAAGTCCTGGCAAGGGAGACCAGCTCGTGTGATCATTGCAGTGCCATCACCCGTACTAGTATGAGCAGATGTACAACTGAAATAGGTGCGGCCATACCCACTACAAAACACAGAAGTTGACAAAGTTGTAAGTCAAGAAAGAGTCATTAGACTATACCGCTCACGTATGCTGTCTGCATAACAATGGAACTAGAGCAGAGGGTTAGCAAGATGTTTTGCCATCTCCTGTACTAAGTTTAATCAAAGAAAATAAAATCGATAGTGCCCTGCTATGGTCAGCCATATCTGAAAAATGACTGGTGTCAGAAGGCCCAAGAGAAAGAGTAACAATTCTGAAGCAGGATAACTCCATTGATGCATGATCACTCAGTGAACCACGCCCAACAACAAAAATCAAGTTTGTGCATTGGAAGTCTTTCTCTGCAAAAAAGGATTGCTTCAGAAAGTTAACTTCTCCCAATCCAATACTATTACACTCAGTTTGAGCAATTAATAATAATTTTAGCAAAAACAGTATATAACATTTTATATCCTTGATATGGTCCTGATTTTATAGGCTCAGATTTTAGAAGTTAGTTGCCTAAAATAGGTACTTAAAGGTGAATTCTGGCAGCTAAAACAAATATGTTTTATACATATATACATGTATTTGTTTTATATACAAATACGTATAAATAGTTTCCAATGTTACTGACCGTTGCCAGTAGTCCCAATTTCTGGACAATCTCTGAGAAGACATATCAGCATATATATTGTAGTACTCGGGTATGAAAACATTAGCCTTGACTTTATTAAAGCCAAATCATGCAGGCAACCAGCAAACACAGCGTTTTTGCTGTGCAAGATACATATAACAAATCCGTCATACTCAAAACAAACAGTAGAAAATACCAAGCAGCACAAGTCTTATCTGTATAGCATTCTAATACAATTACACACATTTCTGCAACTGGATAACTGAAAGATAAGCTCGTCTTCCAACAATTCCATTCTATACCGACTACACTTACAGTTTTGTTATCTTAACGTCACAGACGCTCAAGAACTTCAAGAAAAGCTTGTTTCCTAAAGGAAACTCAGAATCCTAGATACATACACCTGTGTTGTTAGCACTGCAACAATATCTGCTTTGAACTGCAAGTTTTAAAAACCTAAGACCCTTTAGATTGCACACATACTGCTCTTACACATTTCAGCTTTATGTCATTGCTCTAGAATTTAAAGCTAAACCTCATACTGAGATATACTTTGTCAAAACATTAATAGGTGCTCTCTTTCAGACAGAATGATTACATTCACAATTATACCACTTTTCATTCAAGAAGAAAACTTAGATGTTACACATGAACATATAATGTATGGTTTTTAACTCAGCATGTCATCTCCACACTCAAGCTTCAAATTCATCTACAGACACTCAGCCCTCAAACTAATAGCAACCATAAATTTCGATCCTTTATCATAAACATCACATTACCCAGTGGCAATGACAGTGTTCTTGGCTCTAAAACGATGTATAGAGCCATCTTCTATGCAAAGGGCAATAATACCACGACATTCCCCATTTTCCATAAGTAGGTCCAAGGCAAAATACTCAGCAAAGTAGCTGGTATCGTACCGCAGAGACTGAAAAAAAAAAAAAAAATCAAGAAGAATCTGGAAACTTAAATAAGCTCTCTTCAAAACTGTCAATGCATATGGGCTATTTTAGGATAAAGACAAAACAACCAAGAAAAAAGTCCCCCATTCCCACGCCATCAACTCTCAGGGAAGCAGTTTTCCTTATAAATCTGTATTAAAAAAAAATAAAAAGACACGGATGAATATGTTCTAGCTCAATCCACTCAATTCTGAGAATCCATAGCTAGTCAACAAGACTTGTTTTTTCACTCTACGTTTGGCAGTGCTTTAATCAGCTGCAGAGCTCGATACATGTACAAGCATGTACCACTAAATCCCTCTCAGAGACGCAGAATACATCTCCTCAAGCCTAGTATATCAACAGAAGCATCAAGCATCATCAAGTCAGAGTCTTTCATGCCCTCAAGGATCGGACTAGCATATAGCAGCACTGAGCGTTTGTATTGCAGTAACATGTATTGTTTTAACCACGAGGAGAGCAAATAGCTACCTACTAAGTAAATAAAAACCATTGGCGATTCTGTACTTAGCTTAAGGCTTCAAGTAGCTAACCACCATTTTTAAAAGAACTATATCTTTCGTCTGTTATGGCCTGCAGAATTGATAGGACCAGATATTAGAATATGCTAGCCACTTACTTGCAAGAAAGCAAGATCAGAAACGCATAGTAACCCTTTATGCATTTATAGACGTTATACCCATTCCCCTGCTCCTTCTTTGAAAGGAAACACTGCCTTGTAGCTTTTGTTAGAGTTCCCCAATGCCACTGAGTCAGCTTTTCTAAAAAAGGGTTTTTTTCGGAGCGCTTAGATAAATTGTCTGTGACTAGTTAACAGATGCAAAAGCAGCAACGAGGAAAAACTCCTGCAAACCACAAAGCTGACAGTGTACACTACTCAAACGTTGCCTCCAGGAGAACAAGCATAAGCAGGATCCTTCAGTGTATTTTATGTTTGTACTCCTGACCAAACACAGGCACCTGCTAGGCTACATCCTTCCACGGTGCCTCAGGAAAAAAGGAAATCCAGAATTTGCATCAGCGATTCACCTGGATTCCCCACTGATACTACATTTGTGAGTAGCTACAAGTTTTCGGTTTTTCAATTGCTAGAAGAAATCATTAATTGAAAATACAAAACCCAAAATTCAGTTTTACTTCATAGCTTCTTACCCTGCCATACAACGTATGTAACAGTGAGTGTCCTGTTCTGTCTGCAACACAACAGCATCTGTGAGCCTGTCCTCCTTTTCCAAACTGGAGACTCTGTCCACCAAACGCACGCTGATAGATTTTTCCTTCTTCTGTTCTACTGAATGGCATCCCGTAATTTTCCAGCTGTTGAACCCAGATACAAGCATCAGATACAGATGTGCATAAGAAGCCAGGAAGTTAACTTTTTTTTTTTTTTAAACCGTTCCTAGTAAGGGGATCTCTGTGGAAGCGGGCCTGTGCTTTGTAACTGTAATTACCTAAAGTGGAAATCAATTTCAGCGAGTCTCACCTCTATCACCGCTGCTGGGGCTTGTTCTGTCATGTAGTGTATGGCATCCTGGTCTCCCAGCCAATCAGATCCTTTCACTGTGTCATAGAAATGCCACCTCCAGTTATCATCCTCCATATTCCCCAGGGCAGCATTGATCCCTCCCTGAAAATGAAAATACACATTCCAAGAATTACATTACTGAAGTACAGTTTTAGCAGACTTTCCTCCTGTTTCTGTTAAAATCACATACTGTATACATAAGATAAACAGCAAAGTCAGACTTACGTGGCTGTGAAAAAAACATGCAGTGTATTAGTTTCACAACAGCTCGTCTTATTCTGTTGCGTAACACAAAAGTTACATACATAGAAGGCAGTGAAACAAAACCGAATAGAAGCTAGACGTATATTGCCTCCCAAGATAAGTTTCAGCTACATACGTAACGTTTATGAAAGAAATTTGGCCTTGAAACATTATGTGCACGCACATATCCAGACAGACCTTCTGAAAGCAGGTATTTTTTAACATTTGTTCTGCCTAAATTCTCACCTGTGCAGCAACAGTATGAGATCTCGTAGGAAAGAGTTTTGTAACACATGCTGTATTAAATCCAGCCTCTGACAAACCAAATGCAGCCCGCAGACCTGCTCCTCCTGCACCCAAAACAACTGCATCAAATTCATGGTCCACTACTGGATATTGTGTGGAAATCTGGAAAAATGAAGAGAAGAAAAGGTAGTTTGTTATTATCAAAAAAATATTTCAAGCTGAGCCAAACTTTAAAGTTCTGCGTACACACAAACAGTACACGTTTAACATTCTTAGCATATGTAGCATTCATTAAAAGAATATATTGGATGTCGGGGGGGGGAGGGGGGAGGGAAGGAATTCATCCCTAAAAAAAGCAATTCATTTAGAAACTCAATCTCACTGCCTACTTGAACACAACACCCCAGTGAAGCCAAACATCTGACACAGCAGCCCTATGGCTTCCTTCCAGGCCTGATAAGTGTCACGTGCATTATCTAACCTGTTACATAAGGTACAGAAAAGCACAAACATACCGAATCAGAAACCTTAGTGGAAGCATTTTTCTTTCCATAGACTGTGAAGTGAAAGTTCCGTGCAAGAGTCTGGCATGCCGCTGGCCACTGTGGAAAGAAATCAAGACAATCATTGTAGAACAAGCGTTTCCATGAGCAAGACTTTCAGTATTCTCAACTGCTCAGTGTTGATAACAAACATCTACTTACCACTGATTCCACGTGTTCAAGAACACTGTATCAAAACATTTTAGAGCTATGTGCAATGAAGCTTTGGCTTTCCTATAGTCATAACCAGAAGGAAAAATATTTAAAGTTTTGACTAGACAAAAGAACAGCCTGCAAGTAACAAGTTGTCATGGACTTTATCATATTTTCTTCGCCTCGTTAACATTAACTCATCTCTTATCTTTGCCTTGCATTGACAAACAAAATATACGTTTGCAACCAATGCTCTGGTATTATCATGTTTTGTCTCATGCAAACAGAGGTATAGACAGCTTTATTTGAATCACAGGAATTACTGGAAGACATCTCACTTGGGTCAAACAATCCACAGAATGTGCATTATTTCAGGTATCTGCAAGAGCTCTGCAAGAGCCAGAGACATTCTCCTTGTTTTTAATTCTGTATTAGTGGCCTATCTAAAACCACTTATTCATATCTGTATGAAGCACAGTGGCAGTTTTCCCCTTCTGTAACATTCTTGCCACTGCCCCAAACACTAAACCACCCAAACTCACATCCAGTCTTTGCTTTGACAGGTTAAAGCCTCAGTTTTGGCCCCGCTAGGCTAAGTCACCAATTTTCCCCATCCTAGTATTCCTTCTTCACACTATTCAGCAAATATATCCAACTGAACATTTGTGATTAGAACAGTAATACAAAAAAAGCCATGCTAGTGCCTTGCACAGTGCCATCAGCACTTTTCTATTTGAAATACTTCTCCAATACATTCTGGGACCGCATTTGCCCTTTCCAACAATTGTTATACCAATGGTTTAATCAGTTGATAATATGGTCAACAAGCAGGTCTTCTCTCACCACCACTTCCAAAAATGCATCCCTTTTTCCAAATCCCCAGTTGGAATTCTGCTACGAAGACCTTATAAAGAACCACCTTTTAAGTAAAATGTGGTTTTCCTGAACTTGCTATGTCACTCTTCTGTAGGACTATTTGCAAGTAGTCATGAAATACACCTTTGCATCAGAGAACTCTGGAAATGTATTAGCCAAAAAAAAAAAAAAAAGATTTAGCAGATGCTTTTCCTTTTCAGCTTCTGCAAAACACATTTTTCACAACCGTTATTCCTATTCACTTTTTTAATTGTTAAATATGTAAGAATTTTGTTCAGAATGATTACGAACAGAAGCTTGCAAAGCAGAACAAGATGTTGTACTATACGTGAAAACAGTGATCACACAAACCCCAACTGGTTACTAACAACACTACATACCTAGCAAAGTAGAGGTCCTTCCTCACATATATTACTTGTTCTCACACTTGTATTTAGAATATAGCAAACGAGCTCATAGTGCGTGTGGGGTTTCTTTTTTTTTTTTTTTAAGCAATCCCTGCGCAACCCAACACTGCGTTACATATGCAGTAGAGTGCTGCGCCCACTCCTTGAGTTACCTTATTACAGAATAAAATCCCACACCGAACGCACAGAAGCTCTTAGCTACTTTCTCCCTTGCTCTACAGCTGCGTTTCCAGCTACTTTCCACAGCCGTTCCTCCCTCGTAACCAACCGCCCGCTCGCGAACGACGTCCCTGGCAAGTGCAGCAGTAAAGGCAAGCAGAGCACTCCCACTCCCT